TAAACCCAATGTTGATAAAGTTAATACTCATCGATGGTTACGAGCATCTGGATTAAAGTCTGAAACTGAAGGCTTTATTCTTGCAGCGCAAGACCAGAGTCTTTTCACTAGGAATTTTCAGGCAAATATCATACATAATAATGTGGATCCAAAATGCAGGTTCTGTGACAAATACCAAGAAACAATAGACCATCTAATCTCAGGATGTTCTATACTTGCCCCAAATGAATATAAAAATCGTCACGATAAAGTGGGGCAATACTTACACTGGACAATGTGCAAACACTTTGGAAAATGTGTAAGCAAACACTGGTATGAACATCGGCCAGCGCCGGTTACAGAAATAGAAGATGTCACCATTCTATGGGATTATACCATCCACACAGACAGAAAAATTGAAGCAAATAGGCCGGACATTATAGTCAAAAACCAGAAAGAAAAAACTTGCCTACTAATTGATAGAGATTTTGTCCAGCGGATTGTAACATAGCAACCAAGGAATTTGAAAAACTATCAAAATACAAAGACCTGGAAATTGAAATAGAAAAAATGTGGAAATTGAAAACAAGAATAATACCAGTGGTAATAGGTGCACTTGGAATTATAAAAAATGGAACAAAACAACACATTGAAAGAATCCCTGAAACCCCAGCTTAAGAGACATACAGAAAATTGTCTTATTAAGTACAGCACACACACTAAGGAGAACTTTGTCTATGTAACGCTAGCAACTTCATCGGAGATAAAAAAAAAAAAAAAAATTAACATGAAATGTGGCCATAACAACACACCACGACCTGCCTTAGGTCTTTCCGCAGACTTAGTAGGTAGTGTGTCCATAACAGAAATCGAATGATGATGATGATAATAATAATAATAATAATACAGAAGAATTGCATTGACCCAAATGGAGATTCTGTGATAAATATCCAGAAACAATTAACCCTATTGCCTAAGGTTGCATAGTGATGGCACCCACTGAATATGAAATTCGGCATGATAGAGTCAACCAATATCAGTGCACTGAAAACTTTTACGGTCAGGAAACTGCAAAAAACTGGTATGAATATCATACAGACTCGCTCACAATATTATGGGACTTTTCAATAAAATCAGGCAGAACAATCAAAACTAATTGCCCAGGCATAATGATCAAAGACCAGAAAAACAGAAGTTGATTTCTTATTCACATGCCAGTCCCGATATATTGTTTTGCATCTTTGCCGATCTTCTAAAAACTATCAAAATACAAAGATCTTGAAGTGGAAATCTCGAAAATTTAGCAGACGAGAACATCAATAATTTCACTTGTAGTTGGAGTCTTCGAATTGATTGGAAAAATTTCCGTGTAGACGCATAGAAGAGATTCCTGGTAGCTCATGAAATAGAAATACAAAAAATTAGACTCACAAGTACATCTCATATATTACAAAGAGCTTTATCTATGTAACATGTGTGTGTCTTAGTATTTTTTTAAAATCATCATTGATATTTATGAGTGTTATTACAATATCTTATTAATGCTGTCAAGCTGATTTTTTAACGATGGCGATAGGAGAGTTTCTACAGATATTTTAATGTAGATGAGCCTATTCATTCATTAACTGAAGAATTAAGATTCATCAGTAATTTCATATAGGAAAGTCATGAAAATTTCACAGGTTAAAACAAATAATAATGAAAAATTGTATTGACGCAAATGCAGATTTTGTGATAAATATCAAGAAACTATTGACAAACTTACACCAGGTTGCACAGTGATGGCACCATTTGAATATAAAACTAGGCCCGGAAGAGATTACTGGTAGATCATGTCTTAAAGAAATGCAAAAAATAGTAATCAAAGGTACAGCTCACGCATTACGAAGAGCTTTATCTATGTAAAATGTATGTGGTCTTAGTAATTTTTTTAAGTGATCAGTAGCAAATGCTATGAAGCCATTCCTTACTTGAGGTCTCTGGTTGCAACTTGGAAGGAAATCTGTATACAACTCAATCAAAAATCAAAGAAAATAATATTAATAGTAACGACGATAATGATCAATTAAGAAAACTTAATATTTTCCGTTGTTTAAATAATTTGCTAGTTTTAAGAAAATTTAATGGAACCTATTATATTGACTTATTTAGATAATTTCATTAAAAAAACATTTTTCGACAACATTCGACTAATGGAAAATAGCAGACGATAATAAAAATTATTATTACGAAGACTATAAGTTTTCTAACTTACGAATGAATATTGACAAGAGAGATATAAATTCCTTCTATACAGACACAATATATTTAAAAATAAAACTTCTTCAACAGAAACATTGCTTATATATAGTAATCTTTAAAATCTGAATAAAAATAAATAACAATTGAACATATTCTTATTAAAATATGCTTTTAAACTCTCTATGTAAATTAAATATTACGGCTAATGTTGCAAACACCATTTTTTAGTAAGAAGTATAAATGGCTGGTACGCATTTATCAATAATGTCGGCTGCTTTGTTCGGCTGGTGTAGCCTCACGTAAATTTATAAGATAAAAAGCAGTCTTTTGACTGCTCAGACGAGAATGCGCAGGAGGAAATGGTAATTCAAGTCATCATCATCAAAAATGTTTCGAGTTGAGTTCATGAATTAATATGTTCTCTCATACTCAGTGACATTGCATACTAATTCGACAATATTTTGCTAGCCTTCTCTGTTATCTTGCAGATTTGTTGCAGATCTTCCTTGATTGGAAACGTCTCCAAAGGAAAAGTTTGTTTATTAACTTTTCAACGTCTTCCTTTGGCAATATCGTAACATTATTTTTGCCTATTTTGACGCCATATGTTTTACTAGAGAGTAACACTTCAACTTAGGAACCAGACATTTTTATGCTCTTCATACATGGAAAAGTGTTTTTTCTCTCTCTAAAAGAAAAAAAATGATCTGTCCTCGTCTGGTAAAAAGGAAAGAAATGATTTGAAATGACTAGATGTTCATGCCATTTGGTTCCTACTTCCAAATTCAGCGAGTCAGCGAACGAAGAAACACTGGTGCTTATCAACGACGCTTCTTTGGGAATATAAAAGTGACTACCAAATAATAATAATAATAATCATCATCATCATCTTAATCAAAACTGTTTCGATTTGAGGTCATGAATTAACATGTACTCTCATCTTCTGTGACGTTGTATACTGATTCGACAATATTTCGCCATTCTCTGTCCTCTGGGAGTTTGCGGATTCGTTTCAGATCTTCCTTGGTTGTAAACTTCTTCAAAGGAAAAGTAACATTTTTCTGCCTTGTTCTTTGAACGTCTCGGTTCAGCGTTATGACTATGAAGGTTCTTCGATGACCTTCTGAACTTTCTGAAGTCAGTCTTTTCAAAGTAAAATTCCATGGCTTTCTTAAGTGGACATTCTAGATTCATTCGCAAAATATGTCCAAGAAGTTTTCATGTCGCTTTCAAAATGAACAAAGACAAATGAGATGATGATGTTGGAAGTTCAATAACATTTTCCGAATATTGTCTTTCTCAGTATGCAACGTCTTAAATAAGTAGATACTGCTTAGTAGTAACTGGAGCAACCATTACTTACGCCGCCATATTTCAAGTGGATTCCGCATACAAAACAGATTTCAGCGCCTAATTTTCCCTGTGTCCGTCGTGAATGTTGTTTACGGCGAAATACCAATCGTCTTTCCATCTCGTTGCTTTTTATTACGACTTGATAAATCATACGAAAATGTGAAGTTTATATGAAGGCATTGTATCAGAAGATGCTACAGGGGTCGCATCTAGTTGAAAATGATGCATAGACATTAGGCTGGATCAGTAAGTCCGTGGCCCCACGTAGCTATCTATTGAAAATATACTCTCCAAGGAGAAATATATTGATCAGTCAATATAATTAATATTTACCAATAAAGTAAGAAATGATAAAAAAATTGTTGAAAAAATAGATTCGTGCTTTGAAGAAACAGCTAAAAAGATATATTTAAAATATAGAAGAATAAAAAAAATTAACTTATATAAATGCAAATATTGCAATTCATTATAATGTTATTTAAATTATATATATTCGGACAATTGCCCTCATGTTAGTTGTTATCACAACGGTTCAATCTTCACAACAGATTAAAGTAACTTTCAGGGAATTCTCAGCTGAACCCTTTATTTAATTTCCGAAGGTAGACAGTTCCCTAATACTTATTTCCACTAAGTGCAAGTACATTCTACCTGAGCCATGGATTGAACTCACAAACACTATATCACCAAATTAACAAACTAAAGATTTTACCTACAAGTCCATTATAACGTAGGATAGAAGGCCTCATTAAGGTCACATAATCCAGCTATATTTGTAGAACTTCTAGATGCAACCTGAGTATTAAAGCTTCGTCTACGTTGGATTAGTGGTGTCGTTTCCATTTCCTCGAAGTATTACATGTATGTTTGTCATCATTGGTAACAACGGTGAACCCATAGCCAATCCTTCCTCCTTTCGGCTGTACACAGAGCCTCAGTTTTTCCATCATATTATCTAATGAAATATTAGTACATTCTCCCAGAGAGGGAAATCATTCCCATCGGTTTCGAACCATTGTTTGGTTCCATTCTGTAAGAACTTTAGTGAACAGGCTAACCACATTCAAGCTTATCATCCAATTGTTATGATCAAGATACCCCTCGATCAGTTTCACTAAGGTTTTTGAGTTTCTAACATAGGATGTGAACTTACATGTCAGTTGTGGTTGACTGTATCAACAAGGAATCTGAGCCCCTGCAGCTGACTATAGGTATCAATGGAATACCAAATTTGTGAATATTGAGGTGACCATGCATGTACGGCAGTTTGGTCTATACTCATTTAGTTCGTGTTATTATTTACGATTTGTGGGAAGATTCCTTTCAGTTTTTAGAGTCGGATTTTTTCACATTGTATTAGCTGCCATCCCCAACAAGGCTTACCAATTTTTTGAAGTATCTCACCATTTGTCATAGCAATAACAGAG